ATATTTTTAATCTCCGTATACGACATGACATCTAGTATTTCCAACAGAGGTGACTAAGAGAACTCAGAGGTAGAAAGATGAGCAGCAGCTTCCAAAAAGCCTAACTACGGTTGCTAATTTACCTACCAACTATTGGAAAAACCACTGGGAAGGTTTATGTTCAGCAGTGGACAGTTAACGGCTGAAATGAAAGGAAAATAGCAATTATCCTGAAACAATAAAACTGAATTATTCAGTTGTCCGTCTGCGCTGACAATAATTGAATTCCAAATCCGGAAAGAAGGATTTACTACTTCACCGTATTTAGCGAATGTGAGTAATACTATATGATTGCAACATATTGATTCGATTTCTCTAATAAAAACACGGTTTTTTAGTAACAAGCCACAGATATTTGTTTGTTTTCGTGGACAGAGACAGACTTTTTTTATACAACTTAGAATAGCAGACAAGCTGACGGCCCACCTGATAGAAAGTGGTAACCGTCGCCTATAGACATGAGCAGTGTCATGGACATAACAGAGTATACTGTTTCGCCCATGATACCCCCCATGCGGTGCCATTCCTGAGGACTCGGGTGTTATTCCTCTGTACCCTGTAAATTCACGCCATATCCCACCCTTCAAACCGAAACACAGCCATGCAAACACAACTGCTTCACGGTTGAAACACGAATGGGACAGAGAGAGGGTTACCATACCATTTTCATCCATCAAAAAAAAAATATTGTTATTACTGGGGAGCTAAGATATTATCTCTCAGTATTATATAATATCATATTTTACTTGCATTCAAGAGCAGCTCCTTCCCCGTAGAAATATACAAGTCTTTTTTTAATTGGATGATAATGAAATGGTAACCCCACCTACGCTAACAGTATACGCTGGTAAGGGATGATAGGTGAGGATGAAAAGGCGAGACAGTTAGCCCATCGTGATGAATATACCTGGAATTCAGCACGATGGTTCCCAGAAGGAACCACGTGGAGGTCGATTTGACAGGGTATATTGCTAGCAATGGGTCTGGTGTTCCGTATTATCAACAGTCTCTTCCTACTCAATATACAAGTGTTAGAGGTATCTACCTATGAAAAAGCAAAAGAACTAAAGTCACCGATATAGCCCGAAAGATAAGCAAGCTAAAGTGGCAATGAGCTGGTCACATAGCTCAAAGAACCGACAACCGATGGGGAAGAATAGCTCGTCGTTGCAACGAGTTGCATAAGCTATAAGAATTGTTGATGATCCCAGGCTCACCAGCGGTATTGAACCTTTAAGTCTTAGGAGAGATTTTGCCTCTGCATGTTCTACTGCCTGTACAATGGATTGTGCTCAGAGAAATTGTTCAATATGATGTTCACAGCCACTTTCTACCATAGTACGGATCGCCATCGACAGAGAGTTCATCCTTATGTCCTACAGCCTCAATGGCCGCGTACAATGCGGTTTCACAGATGTTTCCTCCCATGAACACTCTGGTTATGAAATGAGCTCCCTGCCGAGGTTTTCCCAAGAGACTACAGCATGGGGTTCTTCAAAACCTTACCCTCCAGTAAAGAGGTTTCTTCAGGGTTGGCAATGCACGCGTAATACCTCTGGTATTGCAGGTATTCATAGGCTACGGTAACCACTTACCATCAGGTGGGCCGTATGCTTGTTTGCCACCTCAGTGGTATAAAAAAAAATTCTATTTGTAATTTACTTTCGTGTTTGTCTCATATTTATTTTGTAAATTTTAAAGGCGCTAGTTTTCCAAGCGAAGCAAATAATTAAAGTTATAAAGCACAATTTACTTTTTTTTATAACACAATGGGGAAATGAACATGTGACTCATCTGATGGTAAGTAACTATGGCCACCCATTAGCACCCACAACACTAGAGGCATTGCAGGTGTGCTGCCGGCCTTTGAAAAATGAATATGCTCTTTTCATGAAGGTTATGATGTCGTATCGGTTTAAAAATACTGCTACTGGAAGTTGAATGAAACATAAAAAAATACAACCTATTTGATCGTCTCTTTATTTCTGAAGTCGATTTATTAACTATACTATATTGTGGAAACGGAACGGAATACAATGACTTGTGTAAAAACCATTTCATGCAAGTGTTTAGGTACTTACAATATTGACCTCGCTGCGATTTTGTTGATATTATTGTGCTCCGAACTCGAATAGATTTGGTTAATTTGACTTTTGCGTGCGCCATTTTGTTTTTTTTTTTTTTTATAATACTGTTATTGTCACGAGCAAAGTGGTAGTGGGTACTGTGTAGTATAATCTAGATGTAAGTGGAATCGAATCATTCATAAACAGGGTTCATTTAGAAGAAAGTCATTTTTAATGCAAGAGTAAATTTAAATAATCTTTTGTAACCAGTTTATACTTTTTTTTTATGCAATTTAGAATGGCAAACAAGCTGACGGCCCACCTGATGGAAAGTGGTAACCGTCGTCTATAGACATGAACAGTATCATGGACATAACAGAGTATACTGTTTAGCCCATGATACCTCTCATGCGTTACCAGTCTCGAGAACTAAGGTTTTTTTTTTATTTTTATGCAATTTAGAATGGCAAACAAGCTGACGGCCCACGGATGTAAAGTGGTAACCGTCGCCTATAGACATGAGCAGTACCATGGACATAACAGAGTATACTGTTTTGTTTTAATTTAAATTTTCATCACAAATTTGTAGCTATGACGATTTAATGAAACGATAAGCTTTGAATTTGATCTATACTCGTATAGTTACGAATTACTATGAGTATACTGATTATTATCATTTACTGGTTTTTACACAACACAGCCGTGTGGTCGCGGCATAGAATGGGCTACCACTTCCTTTTCTGTGAGTGTCGTAAGAGGCGACTAATGATGATGACAAAATACTTTAAAAACTTATTTTCACCACTGTACAACCCGCCATTAACTAAAGTTTCATCCCAACCATCTGGACGAGTGGCTGTCGTCCACCGTGCGTTTTTCAAGGCACTTTCCTCCACGCACAACCACTCTTTGGAATCAACTTCCAGCAGCAGTATTTCCGAACTAACACGACAATATAACCTTCAAGAAAAGAGCATATTCATTTTTAAAAGACCAGCAGCACATCTGCAATGCCGTTGGTGTTTTGAGTGATCATGGGTGGCGGTAGTCACCATCAGGTGAGCCGCATGCTCGTTTGGCCCCTGTGTTGTAAAAAAAATCATATTAGGAAGCAACGATGCTATTAATGGAAAAACCAAAATATATGACAATCACGTGGTTGCTATTTTGTATGCAAATTTGTTAAAAAAAGAAGGAAATATATATACATATATATATATATATATATATATATATATATATATATATATATATATATATATATATATATATATATATTATATATATATATATATATATATATATATATATATATATATATATATATATATATATATATATTTACGCGATATCGTTTCCGATTTTGAAAATATTTCGATAATTTTTCGTGTTGTACACGACAGGATTCCCTTCCGTATTGGTCCCATATAGAGATTATCACGTACAGTTTAGAATCAAGTTAAATGTTACAAAAATATCTTAAGTTTTTAGGCCATTCTTCTTTATGGATAAAGATATAATAAAAGTAAGTAAATTAACAAACTAGCTCTCAACTGTGATTCTATTCCGGCGGAATTTTAATAAGGTATTATGGCAAAGTTTGAAATGTTTCTGTGGTTCCAATTACTTTCTGATTTTGTGGACAAATAAAAACATAATAATGGGGCCGATTCTGAGGCGTAATTTTTTTAGAGAAATGCTTAACTTAATACTTTAATTTGATAACTTTGCAAAATTACTGTTTTATGGATCGTCATGAACTGAAATTGTAATAAAACACGAAGCGGTTGTGTTTGCATGGCTGTGTTTCGGTTTGATGGGTGGGATATGGCAGTGAGTTTACAGGGTACAGAGGAATAACACCTGAGTCCTCAGGAATGGCAACGTATGGGGGGTATCATGGACGAAACAGTATACTCTGTTATGTCCATAGTATTTTTCATGTCTATAGGCGACGGTAACCACTTTCCATCACCGCTGTTTGTCACTCTAGGTTGGATAAAAAAAATAAGTCTTCATTTTAGAAACGTAATTTTAGGTTTAAACCTATTAAAAAATCAGGTTATGTTGGTTTCTAAAATGAAGACTTTGCTGTGAAAAAAAGTAAGATTTTAAGATGTCTATTTATATAAATATATATCTATGTATATATGTACTATATGTTTTAAATTGTCTGATTTATATTTACATAAATCATTAGTTTATATTTACATAAATTTATTATTTATGTAATTAAACTGTTTGAAAAAAAGCAACAGCTGAGTTTCTTGCCCGTTCTTCTTTGCTGAAATTGCATTTCGAATGGGCGGTAATGGAAAAATGACTATTTATAAATGCTTAAATCTAAGTTTACTTTAATAATTTTTTTTTTGTTGCTATTAAATCTAAAATTCATTTTAGAGATACTTTTAGAAAATGATGCCTCAGAATCGACCAAAATGTTATCAAGTTTATTTCTCCGTCAGTATCTAATACCCTTAGATAGTATAGATAGGGCAACGAGTCTCAAAAAACGGGTCAACTTTTTGTCAGCTAATTGTTAAATTAGCTGACTTGTTTTTTATCAGTGTTCTACATACTTACACACATAATGTATCTTGACGTATCTATATTTAATTATTAAATAAATAAAATACGATTTTACGCATTAAAAAGATGCAAAAATTATAAGACAAAATAAACGTAGAAGTTATTTATTTATTTATATACATATTTTTGGTGAGTTTTACAGTTTTTACCAATGCACTCACTAAAAATAAAATAACTTAAACTTAGTTATCACGCAAAATTGTATGAAAAAGTTGACCCGCTTTTCTCGAAGCATTTGTATGGGAATACTCTATTTATATAACCTATTTATATATCATTATTATTATTAAAGTTTGATGTCCAATAAATTTTACAAGAAGTTGATACAGAAAAGAAAATAGTAAGTGATCCTTACAAAGATGTAAACGTAAATACTTATAGTTAAAAAATAATTTTATGGATGTTCTTTATCATTTGTTAAAAACAAAAATCAATCAAAATGAATTTATAATATATAAATGTATTAATAGAAATTTAAAAGAGTAACTGTTGAGTTTCTTGCGGGCTCCTCTCAACAGATAACAACCTTCCGAGCCCTGCAGTAGATTAAAAAAAAAATTACAATTTAAAAAGTGCTTGTAAACAAGTATATTTGAATAAAGACGATTAGAATTTAAATTAAAAAAAAAAAACATGCATGTCCAAGCGATTAAAGAGACTGAGAATTAGGCACTCGTGATACATTAATATAATATATTTTTATTTATCGATGAACCCAAATGGAAGCCAGGTCGGAATACAATATGAAAGGCGAGCTGCGGCATTAAATCAGATGCAAAATCTATTGAAGCGGAGGTAAAAGTAAATTGGTACGTACCTATGTAATGAAACGTAGTAAGTGTTCGGCGATATGACAATTGCAATGCGCATGTGTGCAGAATGCCAAGGCGCCAGTGAGTCAAAGCGAGCGAAGCGAGCGGTCCGCTTCTTTACATCTCTATTTAATGAGCGATCGCGAACATAAACTTTCGTATCAATTTGGCGGGAAAAAATGAATAAAGTATATTAATTTTTATTAGTGGCTCGCGCGGTATTGTCTTCAAGTTCTTAATTCAAATACGATAAATAGAAAATATTTTTAAAGTGCGCTATTCAGTTTAGTTTTTGAGTTCTCAGTGGCCAGTGTTTTGTACTGTGTTTTCTATTTGTAAAATAATAATTTGAGTTTTTTTTTTTTAGTGAAATTAGTGACTTGTGCATGCATTACTAGTGACCGAAGATTATAAAGGTAGGTAATTAAATGTTTTTTTTTTTATGCAATTAAGGAATGAAAACAGATACTATGCGGTGGGAGAAGATTGTAAAATTAGATACCGTCAAGAAAATAATCCTAGTAATCTTATAAATTGGAATGTTTATAAGGATGGATGTTTCTTACCCTTTCTCGAAAAAAATATTAAATGGATTTGAATTAAGTTTGGTATATGGGTAGGTTATACTCTAACGTAGTAACTATATAGGATACTTTATGTACTCATTCATGCGGGTAAAGCTGTGAGATACAGCTAGTATTATAAATTGATTTATGAATCTATTAAACTTTATTAGTAATAAAAATTAACGAATACTTAAATTACTATGTAAATTATTCATGAATCTAGGGTTACCACTCGCCATAAGTTTTCCAGGCATGTCTAAAATTTTCGACCTTCTGATTTCCCCCGGCTGAGAAGAAAATTAATGTATAATTCGGTATTTAAATTAAATTGTTCAAAAGCGTATGTCTTTTTGAGACTTAAATATGTATTTTTTTTATTATTAGAATAGTGTAGAATAGTTTTTTTTTTTTAATTTTCTTAATTGGTAACCCTACTTGCGTCTCAGAATACAACGTGAACATTTTATAAAATAAATATTTATATTTTTTTAACTTTTTAGTTAACTAAAATATTTGCTTTATTGGCTGAAAGACGACGGCGATGTGCGAGGTCTTTCAGGTCGTTTTGAAATATGATTTCAACTGTCTACATAAAACTGATCATAACTTTTAATGCTGCAGGGATTTTTTTTTAATTATAGATATGATATATGAGATTAAACAAGATGACCTATTTAGGAGGAATATATATATATATATATATATATATATATATATATATATATATATATATATATATATATATATATATATATATATATATATACTACTTACTTTACGTTTACTTTAATCATATATATTTAAAAATTTTCTAGTTTAGACCCAAAAAGTAGACATTTAGAGCTACAATTTGCGCTTTTTAAAAATGCCTCTATGATGATTTTTGTCCAAGTTAAAGCCTATTAAAAATCACCTAAAATACATTTAGGTATTTTTTAATCCAACACGAATAATGCCAACGTGTTTTCTATAATAGCTCCGCCTGCTAAGCGTGGCAACTATAGCTAAAAACCCTTCTTATGGTATAAACCTACCATATGTTCAGCAGTGGACACTTAACAGCTGATATGGTGATGATGATGAGACTAACATGGTCTATGTACCATATCAACTACTTCTATTAAGTATGGGGGAAAGGCATTATTAGTAATGGGGCTTATTTGACCCATTGCTAGTAAGTGTGTATTTAGAGATAGTTAAGGTGTACCTAACAGGTCGACTTCCACATGGTATCCCCTGGAAACCATCGTGGTTAATTCTAGTGGAATTTGTCACGATGGGCTAACTGACCTGCTTTTATCGTCACCTAAGAGTGTCGTCCTTCACTGGTGCCCCGCCAGCGTATACCGATAGCGCAGGCGGGCAGCATTCCATTATCATTTATTTAAAAAAAAAAATCTATTAAGTACACAACTTATTCTAATAAATAGAAGCTTTCTGCCCACTACTTCAGGATTTGAGAAATGGGAAAATCAATGTAATGGTGGTCCATTTATGCTATTTAAAAATGGTCTTTTAGGTAACGTCCAAAAATAAAATATATACTAGAATTGAAGATACACCTTTAGGATCACAACTGTAAAAATCACAACCAATTTAGTACAGTAATTTACAACTGCAACAAATATATATACAGAGAGACAACATTTGTACAAAAAAAAATATTGTTTTAACATAAATTGCTCTCATTAACAGCCCTCATACATTTTTTTTTCATAATTATTTTCCTTGTACAGACAAACAAGCTGACGGCCCACCTGATGGAAAGTGGGCGAACAGAGTATACTGTTCCGCCCATGATACCCCCCATGCGTTGCCATTCCTGAGGACTCATGTGTTATTCCTCTGTACCCTGTAAATTCATTGCCATATCCCAACCTTCAAACCGAAACACAACCATGCAAACGCAACTGCTTCTCGGTAGAAACACGAATAGAACAGAGATGCCTAAGCTAACGACTTTTGTACAAAGCCTCCCTCTGGTACAATTTTATCCTGTTAGTAATAAATAGTAATTATATTTTAATTTTAATAACTAACAGTTTAACTTACGTGTAATAAGATCGAAAAAGCTCGACTAGTTTCGGAATCAATTCGTGACCCTTAGTCATGAGCGACTGTGATGCGAGCACGAGCCTAACTGCGCGCCTCGGCCCGCTGAACGCGAACTGTAGGGACTAAATATCATATTAATTATAGTTTTATGTTCCTACAATAATACTCCTAAAATTTTCCTTCATCACTTTATTTTTTAAGGGAATTCCTATTGCTGGCTAAATTTTAAAATCATATTAAATTACTAAGAATTAACAGTATTAATTCAGTGAAAATATTATAATACCTTTTTTTTTTAAATTCATCATCACATTAGGAACTCTTCGCCGTTTATAAATATTATTATGTCCTAATTAAATCAAATATCCTGAGGCGATTCCACGATGAGAGTTCCAAGTTAATATAATGATATAAACGTTTGAGAATGTCACAAGTGTTTTACAAAGATTTTGTACAAGACCAGAGGGAGACTTTGTACAAAAGTCGATTGCTTGGGCACCTCTGTCCCATTCGTGTTTCAACCGTGAAGCAGTTGTGTTTGCATGGCTGTGTTTCGGTTTGAAGGGTGGGGGATATGGCGTGAATTTACTGGGTACAGAGGATTAACACATGAGTTCTCAGGAATGGCAACGCATGGGGGGTATCATGGACGAAACAGTATACTCTGTTATGTCCATAGTACTGCTCGTGTCTATAGGCGACGGTTACCACTTTCCATCAGGTGGGCCGTCAGCTTGTTTGCCATTCTAAGTTGTACAAAAAAAAAAATTACTCGAAATTTCACTCATTAAAAAAAAAAAGCACAAACATAGCTCGTTCCCATACACAACTGCCTCTGTTGTATTATCGACTCTACACAATATCTATGCGCTTTCACTCGCTTCAAATTCCAATTTGCATAGCAAACGCAGACGCCAGCTAATTTTATCCTTTTCTATCAGATTTTTTTTTTAATTATTTTTACCAAGAAACTCCGTTGATGCTTTGAGCTGCAGTAAATTGGCTCGCATTCAACAACAGCGAGTATTGGCTATTCGAATATACTTATTGTCAATCAGTCAGTTTCTGCAGTATATAATTATAGAATCAATTAAAGATTGTATCTTAAAAAAAACCCAACTTTAAGGTTATGATTTTTTTATTTATTTATTTATTTTGTGATAAGTCCTCTATGATCAACCCCATATATCGATGTATACAAATAAGAAAAAACAAATTATATATATAAAAAAAAAAATCAACAATGTCACATTTAAAGTCAAAAATTATAATATTAAGGAAATTTATTACATTTATCTTCATCGGAATCTTTACCAGGTATTCAAACAGTTTAGTTTTAAATTTTTTTATGTCATCTATATCTGTGAGTGAGAGAGAAGATTTACTGTACTAGTAAACTCGCGCAAAGCCGGGGCGGGCAGTTAGTTACCAATAATGACATAGTTATTTCTAAAAGCGTAATAGATACCAACGTAGATTACTTTATCTCTGCCCCGGATTTCTCAAGCGTAGCATGAAAAATACTTGATGAGCCCGCATAATGCGAGAATCTTTGACGGGAGAATTTCCTAATTGGTTCAAATTCACGGACCATCCTGCGTCTGTACTTGTTGGGGACTGAGTATAACTATACATTGAGATATTGAACTATACATCGTATTGTTTTGTAAAATCTTTATTGTACATAATATACATTGGAAACATTAAAACATTATTATATACATTTTTTTTTTACAACTTAGAATGGCAAACAAGCTGACGGCCCACCTGATGGTAACCGTCGTCTATAGACATGAGCAGTACCATGGACATAACAGAGTATACTGTTTCTTTTCGTGTTAATACTATCGGCATAATCCACAATGCCACACAGCATAACTTATTAAGTACAAATTTAGTTGAGGATAACAAATTTAATGGAATTATCTAGATAATGTAAGTTAAAATAACAAATTTTGTGTAATAAAACCTCCCATATAATACTATCGGCATAATCCATAATGCCACACAGCATAACTTATTAAGTACAAATTTAGTTGAGGATAACAAATTTAATGAAATTATCTAGACAATGTAAGTTAAAATAACAGATTTTGTGTAATAAAACCTCCCACATAATACTAAGCCGTCACGATCTTCCATCGCGCGGTGACATCTGAATGATGAATGAATGGTGGCTATGTGTTCTATAGGTAATTGATGGTACATAATGACTTCGAAAATAGGAGCGTTGTCAATTCGTTGTTTTTTTTTGTGTTACTCAATATTAATGACAATTCAGACAATTAATTTTTAATCGAAACCGTTTATTTGTGTGTTGGTAGCATTGTTACAAAATGAAATAAAATGGATATTTTTTTTTATACGACTTAGAATAGCAAACAAGCTGACGGCCCACCTGATGGAAAGTAGTAACCGTCGCCTATAGACATGAGCGGTACCGTGGACACAACGGAGTATATTGATGAATTGTCGCTGACACCCTCCATGCGTTGCCATTCCTGAAGACACCGGTGTTATTCCTCTATACCCTGTAAATTCACTGCTATATCCTACCCTTCAAACCGAAACACAGCCATGGCTTGCATGCACAACTGCTTCACAGTAGAAACAAGATAATCTAAATGTAATGAAACAGAGCTACTGTCTACATTTGTCCATTTTCTGCTGCATCATAATCATACCTATTAATAGTCCACTGCTTAATACAAAACTGCCCCTATTAGGGAGTTTTTCCATTTACTTCTTCTATACCATGCTATAGGTTTTGATACTGGTTCTACTATTATTTCGAT